AATTGCAGCTGGAACTTTTAATTTTTGTTAAATTGCAAATTTGATTTACAACTGATCTTTGCAGTGGTCAGAGATTGAGTCCATGAACGTGGCTGATGTCGAGGATGAGTTCAAGCGCCGACTGGAGAGAATCGCCATCAATGAGTGCTGCTGCCTGGTCTATACATCCGGCACAGTGGGCATGCCCAAGGGCGTGATGCTATCCCATGATAATATTGCGTTCGATACGCGCGGCATTGCCAAGGGCCTGGAGAAGGTGGTGATGGGCTCCGAGGCAATGGTCTCCTATTTGCCGCTCTCCCACGTGGCTGCACAAACCGTGGACATCTATACGGTTGCTTCCATGGCGGGCTGTATATGGTTTGCCGATAAGGATGCACTAAAGGGCACGCTGGTTAAATCGTTGCAGGACGCTCAGCCCACACGGTTTATGGGAGTGCCGCGTGTCTTTGAGAAGTTCCAGGAGCGTATGGTCGCTGTGGCCAGCTCCAGTGGCAGCTTTAAGAAAATGCTCGCCGGCTGGGCCAAGGGCATTACGCTCAAGCATTACATGGAGAGTCAGGGGTAAGTTGTGTGCATTGGCAGGGGCGGAAGGGTGCAAAGGCATCTGTATAATATACTTCAACTTTAAGTTTTGAGTGCGCATAAATTATGCAAAAAGGATGCACAGTTAAAGTGGCTGCCATGCCCAGTCGACGCCTAGACGCGCTCCTGGCTGTAAGCAATCTCTGCCAAGCATTTGCTGCGCGTTTTTCGTTCCCGTAAATTATGCAAGCAGCCAGCGCGCGTCCAAAGGAAGCCAAAATCACAGCCAACAACATTACTCATACGTCAAGCTGTACACGAAGGTATCGCCCAGGTGTAGCAGCAGCAGCAGCGGCAACTGAAGCTGCACGAAAGCTCACCTGCATGCGGGCACGTCCTTGTGCGGCAGTCTTTGTCTGAGGGCAGATGCTCTGCACATTTCGTGACATGAGCTAAACTTTGTCTGTGATTAGCGCATATTTAAGCCAGCTTTAAAATATGCTCACCTGGCCGAGACTAGAACTTTAAATAGCTTAGGGTTATTTTTGAAAAAAGTGACTAGCTCTTTTAAATTCTTATCGAACGAGATTCTTTTCAAACTTATTACTAACTGTATTTTATTTTTTATATATTTATTTATCTAACTTTTAGAGAAACTTCTCTTTTTGAAAATTTTCTCTTTTTAAAGAGTCTTTAACTTTACAATTATCTAGCAAAGCCTATAGCTACATTTGTCCTATAAATTATTTTCCAAAATTTTTGCATTCATGTAATAATTTCTTTTTCTATTAACTTTCTTTTATAAAAAAAGGAAATTTTTTTTTTTTTTTAATAACTTTTTAGCTTTTTAACTATCTACCAAAACTATTTTATTATTCTTTTAATCTTATAGATTATAAATTTATTTAGATAAAAATTTATTAGATAACAAAATAAATGAAGGCGGTTTCCATTTTTAAAATTCAATTAATTCAACATTTACTTTCTTTTCAACCGTCTTTAAAACAAACAGAATCTGGTTTTAATATTTATAGGCGCTGTATGAAAATACTCTATGCTGAATTTCTATTGCGGCCCTTTACTCTTTTTAGTTAAACCTTTTATAGAAATTTGTTAGTTAGAAAATTGTGATTTGCTCCAGTTTATTTTAATAGGGCTGGAGCTTGAAAAAGTTTTTTTCTTTATTTATAATATTTAAATATGTCCCCTTAGCTGTGAGCCTTTGGATGCTAAGAGATTTCACGCTCGGGTTTCTTTTCATGGCTGACCATGCAATTAAAAACCTTCAAGTACATTAGCTCACCTCCGAATAATCCACACACACACAAACGTCCCACACTTTAAGAACTCCGCTCTTGTGGTCGTCCCATTGGATTACTCCCTTATCCTTGACACATGCAATTATCAACTTGCCGGCCACAAACTAATCAAGAATTCCAATTAAAAAACTTTCTTTTTTCTCTCTCTCTTAAACTTTTTGCAGCAAGAGCAACGGAGGTTTTCGCTACAAGATTGCCAAATCCCTCATTCTGTCCAAGGTGAAGGCTGCTTTGGGCTTTGATCGTGTGGTCAGTTTGGTGAGCGCCGCGGCGCCCATGTCGCCGGAGACAAAGAAATATTTCCTCAGTCTGGATATGAAAATATTGGATGCCTTCGGCATGTCCGAGACGGCCGGCTGTCATACACTGTGTCTGCCCGACTCGATACACTTGAATTCCATTGGCAAATCGCTGCCCGGCTGCGAATCGAAGATCATCAATCAGGATGAGAATGGACATGGTGAACTGTGCATACGTGGACGTCATGTATTCATGGGCTACATATACAATAAGGAGAAGACCGAAGAGTCGCTGGACGATGACTGTTGGTTGCATTCCGGCGACTTGGGCTACATCGATGACAAGGGATATGTGTGTCTCACGGGTCGCTCCAAGGAGCTGATCATAACTGCGGGCGGTGAGAATATTCCTCCCGTGCATATTGAGAATATTATCAAAAAGGAACTGGATGGCATTTCCAATGCTTTCCTCGTGGGTGAACAGCGCAAATATCTAACCGTCTTGGTTTCGATTAAGGTAAGTTCTAGCAAAATTCGTATGTTACTCGATCCTACTTCAAATATCCCAACCCTTCCATCCAATCCAAAAAATGTAGACTGAAGTGGATCGAGATACAGGCGCACCGCTGGATGAGCTGACGCACGAATCGAGCGTCTGGATGAAATCTCTGGGCGTGGAGTACAAGACACTCAGCGAAATATTAAATGCTGGACCCTGTCCAAAGGTCTGGAAATCCATCGAGGATGGCATCAAGCGCGCCAACAAACAGTCCATCTCGAATGCCCAAAAGGTGCAGAAATTTGCAATTTTGCCGCATGATTTCTCGATTGCCACCGGCGAACTGGGACCCACACTGAAGGTCAAGCGCAATGTGGTTAACAAAATGTATGCGGATCTCATTGAGACCCTTTACGCCTAGAACAAACACAAAAACAAACACTGTAAAACCAAAAAAGAAAATTTGTTTTGTAACCAATCGGCGGAGAGCTATGCAACTTGAGCTTTAAACATGAAATGAATTTAACGGACTTACAAGCCATTGAGTGCCAGCTTTTAACTAATATATACGCCTGTATATATAGATACCTAAACTACTTGTACGATATATAGAGAAATTTTAGATAAAGAAAAAACATCCACTCAATTAGTATGAGTGCGATATGATGATGAGGTTGATGTTATTATTGAGCTTGATGTTAATTATGATGAACGACTAATTTTTTCCATCAAAACTATATAGATCTTTAGTGCATAAGTTTTAAATTTTATGTTAATTTGTTTTACTTATTGAAACGCAAAGAAAATTATATACTCCTATTGTTTGAATTACTACAATAAATTTTTACATATAGATTTTAAGATCATATACAATTGAATTATGTTTGGGAAAATTGTTCAAGTTTCCCTTGTGCTTGGAAAATTTTGCAAGTTTCCCTTTCCTTTAGAAAGTCTTTGTCTAAATAATTAATAACCATAAAGAAAGTTTGAGTTCAGTGAGCAGATTGCCTTAGCTACGTTCATAAAAATATATAACTGTCACAATATTATCTAGAACTAAGAACTATTAAATATTGTAGTTTATTTGGGAAAAAACACAATTAACTACATTTGTATAGTTATATAGTATATTTCTATATATAGCATATATTTCGATTATACACAAAATAATTCTCGAGGGAAATTTATATATTCCTAAACAAAACCATTTTCGTCTGTTTGTTAGGTTAAAGAGACCTATTTATTTTGTAGATCGAAGCACTATTTCATATAGTTCTCATATAGAAAGTATTTGATCAATGCAATTCGTGCATGAAAAACGTTTTTGTTTCTCAAGATATGTTAAACAACCGTAGCATTTGTCAGTTTAACTGTGTTTTCAGCATAGGAGCATAATCTAGTTCACATCAGACAACTGTATAGCTATATATACAGCTATAGGAACACTCGATCGTATTGAGTCTTCGGCATGCCAAAAATAGCCTTCCTTTCTTATCTACTATTATAATAATTTTGAATACCCTGATCCCATTTTCATATGTATATGAAAGGGTGAAGGGCGCATCTCCGACCCCATATATATATTGGTATATATATTACCTATATATATTCTTATTCCCCATAAGGTATATACATATATTCTTGGTCAGCATCAATAGCTAAATCGATCGATGAAGTATTTATCCGTTATCCGTCCGTCCATATGTATGCACGCCACGTTCTTCTATACCTATGAGAGCTAGAGATCCTGTTCTATCCGACTGTAAGAACCCATTGATCTCGGAAATTGCAAAGGGTAGATAATTGAAAAATAAACTAAATATACTCTGTTACCATACGTAAAGCGAGCTTATGCATTTTTGCGATCAAATATTTGTCTACATATCGAATATTGATTTAGAAATATAGTTTATTATGAAAAACTGGAAATTTATAAAAACCAGATGGAGCTAACTTTGTATTTAGGGTATCGCAAAGTACAAACAGATTACAAATAACTCATTTTTGGAATACCTTCCCTCGATGCACCAAATATTAGAAAAGTCCAATTGATTACCTTAAAAGCTTGCGATTTGGTATATATATACACTTTTGCATGCCACAATTAAGTCCTGAATATGTTTCACAGAGATCGGAAGTTAATAAAGAATAGAAGAATGGTATAGGCTAAGGGATGAAGCAGAACATCTGTGTTTATATTCGCATCTGGGTATGTTTATGTGTAAAACGAAGCTAGGTATAGATAGCTCGGCGCGGGATCTAGGGTATTTTCTAATCGACTTACTTAATATTGTTGCAAAAGCTAGCAAATTTTAAGAAATTCTACTGTGCGTTTTATTAAGATTGCCAGCTTATTTTCCGCTCTGCGTCAACTTTTCCGTAATTTTTTCTAGAGCGCGTGCCGCGCTTAAGTCTTTACTCATTTTATTGAATCCATAGCATACAGAGATAACAATGAGGCTTATGAAGTAGGCTCCTCAAACGCTATCGTCCACTTGCTCTTCGGTGGGCGATTCACCCTCGCTCTCCAGACCCTTGGCCAGACGCTCGGCCACCCGCTGCATCAGCTCCTCCATGCTCATCTCGATCTTGACGCAGGCGTGTCGCTGGATGTCGTACCGCTGATCCTGGCCGCACTGGATACGCTCGCAGCTGAGACTCAGACTGAACCAGCTGCTGACATCCTTAAAGCCCGGCCGGCATTCGCACTCATTGTGGGCGACACAATGGCTGTGCTCCGGACAGCCACCCTGGCAGATCGGTCGACAAATCAATTGATGCTGCTTATTGGGATGATGCGAGTGCTCATAGCCGCGCAGGCAGCGGCATTTATTTGGCTCCAAGCAATAGCTGTGCGCCGGACACGCCTCCAGGCAGATGGGCTCACAGAAGCCGAAGATAATGGTGCGATAGCCGGGACAACATATTTGCACCGTATCCCAGCGTATGCGCTCCTCATACACAATGTACTGCTCGCCGGAGGAGCTGCTGCTGGCATTGCTGGGCAGACGTGTCCTGGTCAATGGCACCTGGTACTTGACACTGATGTTCTTCTGGCAGTGGCCGTTCGTTATGGCCAGGCCTTGCGTTTGGCCGAGCAGCAGCAGCAGCAACGAGAGCATCTTGTCCAGCATCTTTGACGGGTTCTTTGTCCAGATCTGGCGCTGGGCACGCTCCAAAATGCACTAAACGCAGTCTCGCCAGACGATGCGCTGATAAAAAAGTGAGAGTCACAATAATTCTTTGTGTTCCGCCTCGTCGGGTATGCCGACGATAACTGGCATTCTGTTTTGCTCCGGGCTTATCGCCTTTGGCTGCCATTGGAAATGTACCGAATCCGCAGCGGGAAAGGCGAATGCAAATGGAAATGGAAACGGCGTGGGGCATGGAAGTGCGACCGGGAGAGAGCATATACGATAAGAGACCCCAAAGAGCTGATCTGCTCCATAGTATGGCAAATTTGAGAGAAGCGCATTTTATCCGCGATCCGATAATTGCAATGATTAATCCAAGATTTATGCGGGTATACAAGTACAGTGGAACCTCGATTAGCCATAACTTCAACTCGCTTATAATCGAAAATTCGGATGAAAAGGTGTCACATTTAAATATTTTTTTTTATTTTGAAATTTATCCCTTTTACCTTTCTCCTGTTAATAGTAAACTTCGTCCAGTACTTGGCATTCCGATCAATAGACGTATTTCAGATCGAGGTTTATCGAAAATCGCCCTGCATTTGAACTACATATTATATATCTTCATCTAATCTGGAATTTATTTATCCTGTTATCCGTTATCCTGTTCGTAACAGATGTTTTTCAGCTCGCGGATAATCGAAAATCCTTTTTAAAAGAACAATTGACATACATGTGCATACATATATTCTATTCTATTCTGTAACTTTTTTATCCTTTCTTCTTCGTATTCTTCGTATTCCGATTAACAGAATTTTTCGTTAGATAGGGTTTGGGATAGCATTCGAAGTTTTCTTCCAAGTGTGACGGGAGCTTTGGTGTTTTATTTTATCATGGAAAAACCTAATTAAACATGCGAAAACAGTGAATCACATTTCAAACTCGTCTTTTTTTATTCCCTGAACCCATTAAAAATGGGTATAAGGGTATATTGTATTTGTGCAAAATCCAAATGTATGTAACAGGCAGAAGGAAGCATCTCCGACCCCTTAAAGTATATATATTCTTGATCAGCATCAACAGCCGAGTCGATCTAGCCATGTCCGTCTGTCTGTCCGTCCGTCCGTCCGTCTGTCCGTCCGCCCGTATGTATGAACGCAAGGATCTCAGAACCTATAAGAGCTAGAGACTTTAGATGTAGATGCTCCTAGATCCCGCGCAGATCGAGTTTGTTTCCGATAATCGATAACTTCATCCGTTTCCAAGCAATCGATAAAAATCTATATCGATACCCTGTTTTTTGGGCAATTTTGGTAAATAATAAGAGCTAGAGTTACCAAACTTGACTTATAGCTTCTAAAATGGAATATATATATACATTTAATGTTGGAAGAAGAGGGTTCAGGGTATCCCCTAGTCGGGGGCTCCCGACTAGAACCTCTTACTTATTTATATTTTTTCTTTATATGTATGTATATACTAGCGGGTATTCACCGGCCTTGCCCGTGGCACGTATAAAATAAACGTATAAAGAAACTTCACCAATAAAAACCTTAGAGTCGCATTTTTCACCGAGGAAGCTTTGACTTTTCAAATGATTTTTTATATATTCTAGGAAACGTATATATGTATATGCTAGGAAATGACTTTCAGCGCGAAACGTCATCCACCAAATCTTTAACCATTTCTACCAAGGAAAAATGCATTATTCGAAAAAGGTGAAACACCTCTCAAATCAATTTAAACAAAGTTCTTTGAAAATGAGTTTGAGGCCGATCGGATGGTTAACAAAAAAGTTTCATACAAACGTTTTTCGCAAATAAACCACTTTTATGGGTGGAATTTCCCAAATCGCAGAAATACGTGGCCATTGAGTTCTTATGTAGAGCTCCGAAAAAAAGTTTGAAGCAAATCGGAGACCACTTAAAGCTGCGCCCAAAAACTCGTTGGATCGCATTTCTACCGAAAGAGTTTAGATTTTGCGAAAAATGGGAAAAGTCGTTTCAAATGATTTTTCATATAAATCCTTGAAAATCAATTTGAGCGCGAAATGTCATCCACCAAATCTTTGACCTCCATTTCCACCAAGGAGGAAAAAATTTCTGGAAAACTGTGAAGCCCCCCTCAAATGAATTTAAACAAATATCATTGAAAATGAGTTTTAGGCCAATCGGATGGTTAGCAAAAAAGTTTCATGCGATTTTTCCATACTTGCGGGTTGAATTTTCCGAAAACCCATCTTAACGTGCACCTTCTGCATCCTGTCTCCTATGATTTTGGCTGTGCGTTGATCACCAATCAGTCAGTCAATAAGTAAGTCAGTCGGTCAGGAAAAGCAGTTTTATATATAGAGATTTAGTTTTAATATCGAGTTGTTTATTATTTAAACATTGCGACATTTTCTTTTTTAAACTAAATCTATTTTTGCGTAAGTTTGTGGTCGAAAAATACAGATTTTTATACCCTGAACCCATTAAAAATGGGTACAAAGGTATATTGTATTTGTGCGAAAGCCAAATGTATGTAACAGGCAGCATCAATAGCCGAGTCGATCTAGCTATGTCCGTCTGTCTGTCCGTCCGTCCGTCCGTGAAATTTTAGATGTGAATGCTCATAGTTCTCGCGCAGATCGAGTTTGTTTCCGATAATCGATAACTTACTCCGTTTCCAAGCAATCGATAAAAATCTATATCGGTATCCTGTTTTTTGGGCAATTTTGGTAAATAATAAGAGCTAGAGATACCAAACTTGACATAATGCTTCTAAAATAGAATATATATGCATTTGATGTTTGAAGAAGAGGGTTCGGGGTATCCCCTAGTCGGGAGCTCCCGACTAGAACCTCTTACTTGTTTTTTCATAAACCCTTTCAGAACTTCGATTTGGAGAAAATTTAGATCGCATTATGTATTATATATATAAACATCCCACATATTAATCTCAACACAAACCACCATGACTAGCTATATAAAAGCAAAACTCAAGACCCCTATCTTATGAATACCTTATAAAAGCCCCACGAACCAACTCAGAAAAGTTTAGTTCGCTCCGAAACGGTGTACAACTGTGCTGTGTTGTAAAACTATGGATACCTTTTGGACACTACTGTACCTAAGTTTGGGATTGATTGGATGCCTGCACTTGGGCCAGGCAAAGGAGATGGACAGTGTTGCTCAACCAAATGTTAGAAATATGATTGAGCACAACTTTTATGCAATGAAAAATAGTGTTTCTTTTCCCAAACAGAACGCGACTGGAGCACACCCGAATATATTATGTAATCCGGCATGTGGAGATAATATGGTGTGCGTGGAGCCCAATAATTGTCGACCAGTGTGTACACAAGGCTGTGGTGAGCACGGCATTTGCAGTGCCCGCGACACATGTGGCTGTGAGCCGGGCTACGAGTTCGATGTGGAGCACTATCGATGCCTGCCCAAATGTTGGCCGGCGTGTGGACCGCACAGTGTCTGCAAGGAGCGTGATATTTGTGAGTGTTTGCCCGGCTTCAGCGGCACAGACTGTCAGCCAGACTGTGACAAGGACTGTGGCGAGCACGGAACCTGTGTGGCTCCGAACAAATGTGCCTGCAAGGAGGGCTACGATTGGCACAACAAGACCAACACTTGTCGGCCCAAATGTCATCCGCTTTGTGGACCCAACAGCCAGTGTGTTCGCCCCGATGTCTGCCAGTGTATGCGGGGCTACGCGGAGCTAAATGGCATTTGCCACACAATGTGCCCACACGGCTGTGGCCAGCACGGCATCTGTGTGGGTATCGGGAAATGTGTCTGCGACACCGGCTACGAATGGGATAAGCTGGAGGCGAAATGCCGACCCAAATGTGAGCCAAGATGTGGACTGCATAGCTACTGCGACAGATCGAATCATTGCAAGTGCAACAAGGGTTTTATACCCAACGATTTGCATAGCCTCAGCTGTTCCAGGCCTCTGAGCTGGTGGATCTATCTGGTGATCGCCATCATGGTACTCCTAATACTCTGCAGCGTGATCGGCATAATAGTCTACTGCGTGAAACGCGGCAATAATGTCAGCTACTATCCCAATTCAAATTTCTCGGATACGTCCAGAATTGTGGGTTAAACTTGAGGATTACGAACATTAAGCTATTTATCCATTATAGTTGTATTTAATAAATATAGCTGTCGCTTTTTAACCGCGACCGATAAGAATTATACATATTTTCTATTGTTTCATATTTATAAAATACAACTCATTTTGCAATCTTTCAAAGTTAAAATACAATTATTTATATTTATATATTAAAATTATTTATATTATAATTGTACTTAAATGTTAGATAAATAATAATACTGCAAAATTATTATGCAGAAAGTATATATATTCTAGATCAGCATCAACGACCGTTGTTCAGTTTTGAAGCTATTGTGTTGAAACTTTTCATAAGTCCGTCTTTCTGTTGCGGGCAGTACATATGACGGCTCGGATTACTATATCTTATAGCTGCCATAGTAACGATCGATCGAAAAACGGCTTATTGCATGGAAAGGTTTTTGTATCTCAATAAACCTTAATAAGTTTCATCATGCTCTCTATATGTTTGCTAGATCTTGTCAACATCGGATCATTATACTTACTTTCCCATTTATTTATAGTTATGTGAACCACAAACTAGCAATAATATTGATTTAACTCCAAAAAATTATTTAATAGGTATTCTCTTAAAGATTGAGAGATTAACTATATATGTTAGACATATTATGATAATAATAATAAGCACATATTTTATTTGAAAAGGTTTTCTTGGTAAAGGAAACAGAATTTCATGCGCATCCGTTATGCATTTTTATACCCTGAACCCATTAAAAATGGGTATAGTATTTGTGGAAAATCCAAATGTATGTAACAGGCAGAAGGAAGCATCTCCGACCCCATAAAGTATATATATTCTTGATCAGCATCAATAGCCGAGTAGATCTAGCCATGTCCGTCTGTATGTCTGTCCGTCCGTTTGTATGAACGCAAGGATCTCAGAACCTATAAGAGCTAGAGACTTGAAATTTTAGATGTAGATGCTCCTAGTTCCCGCGCAGATCGAGTTTGTTTCCGATAATCGATAACTTACTCCGTTTCCAAGCAATCGATAAAAATCGATATAGATATCCTTTTTTTGGGCAATTTTGGTAAATAATTAGAGCTAGAGTCACCGAACTTGACTTATAGCTTCTAAAATAGAATATATATATGCATTTGATGTTGGAAGAAAAGGGTTCAGGGTATCCCCTAGTCGGGAGCTCCCAACTAGAACCTCTTACTTGTTAATCAATATTATTATATTAATTTTAATCTACCATACAATTACTTTTTATATTTTACTTTGATTTATTATTATTTTTACAAGAAGCAAATATTGTACTTACGAGATAATCTGGTTACAATTGACTTGGGAAAAAATAACTATAATATACTATTAAAATATAGTTTTTGTCAATGAAAGACAAACATTTCAAAAGATTTTACTAAAAAATGATTGGAAGCCTGATTTGAATTATTTATTGTTTTCATATGTTATAGAGGGGAAAGGCTTTCCCGGTTCTGTATGTGTAATCGATCTTATATTTTTGGAAGACACCTTGATCAAGGCACAGTCACGGATTTTCCGGGGTTCTGGGTTCTATGTATAATCGATATTATCAATTTGGAAGGCACCTTAGTCAAGAAGAAGAAGACCCGGACTATCAGGTTCTGTCCTAAGCTCTGTGTATTCTATTTAAGAAAAACCTTGAGCAATCAATTCTTATAATACCTGCAAGCACTCTATGTATTTTTTTGATTATTTTTTCACTGCCAACAAGTCTTTTCGAAAATTGTCTACGGAGGGTAATACTAAATAGTAAAAATTTGAAAAATTCCTATAAAAAAAAAACTCTTCGGAAATGGCTAATCGTAAGTTAAGTTCGCGGCAATTTTTGCATATAAATTTCAAGTGAAAAATAATTCCCTGGAGTGTGATAAGTTTGTTCATGACACATCCATGGCTAGTCCTTGCACTCGTCCTCGCCTCCTGTCCGTGGATGTGGGCGCAACGCGGATCCGTGTGCCAAGTGCGAGTGCGTAGCAAATCGGGAAAGTTGGATAAACAAGTGGGTCATACTTAGGGGAAGCTCTCCCCCTCTTTCTCTCTCTCTCTCTCTCTCTCTATTTTGCTGTCCCTCTCCATCTCTGATCCTTTTCCACCTGCCACCAGAGTTGGGTGCTGCGCAACGTCTGCTGCAAGGGCTACGTGGGCAGCCCGGGAAACTGCCGACCCCGCTGCTCGCCCAGCTGTGTGCACGCCCAGTGCACCGCCCCCCAGCAGTGCACCTGCAACGAGGGCTACGAGACAGTCGACAGCATCGACAGCAGCAACATGCCAGGCTGCCAGCCCAAATGCAATGCCTGTCGCTATGGGGATTGCCTGGCGCCCGGCAACTGCCGCTGTTGGCCATCCTTTGAGAAGCAGCCGATTGTGGGCTGCGAGCCTGTGCAGCACCTGATTTTGCCGGCGGAGCAGTGTCTGAGGGAGGATTGCAGCTGCTGGCAGAAGTACTTTAGCTGGACACCATTGCTCACTGTGCAGCCCAAGTGCGTCAGCATCTGCCGAACGGGACAGCCGAAGCCTTGCCTGGAACTGGAACAATGCGTGTGCAATAGCCTTAATCATCTCCTGATTTGCGAGCAGCCGGAGCATGTGCTGCCTCAGCAATATGGCTGTCAGGTGATCAATGGGCCGCCAACTGCTTATCGGAGAAAGCACACGGTTAAGCATATAGATCGAACAGTATCGACTGATCTGAGAGATCGTAAAAATCGGACAGATCGGCCAACTAAGATATTTCCAGTTTGGACTCATCATTATAATCAGTCAGATGAGGAATCAAAGATAACCCAGGCAAATCGAGAAGTTCAGTCAGATCGACAAGACAAAAAAGTTCATCATATAGTAGATCAAAAAAATCAGGAAAGTCGGGCTGATAACACGCAGATTGGAAGTCGAATAGATCATCGCCCAGGTCGGCCGGATAGGTTAGACAGAAGGCATCGAAAAGATCAGTTAGAACGGCCAGATGTGCCAGTTGAGAAAGTGGATAGATACCACACATACGATTCAGCACAAACCGATCCCACAACTCAGACAGGTCGCCCAGTGCAGACTTTTCATTTATTTGGAAAACATAAAAAGAATCAAACAAACCAGCCAGATCCAACAGATCAGGTAACTGCTTCAGACTGGCCACCTCAGGCAGATGAAAATGAGGAGGATCATACGGAAAATATACATAGAAGAGAGCCAAAAAATTGGGAATACGAGACAGATCGATTAGATCAACAGCCCAAACGTAGGAAAGATCATGCTAAACGACACAAACAGAAACCAATTTTATTTGAGGCAGATGATATAACTCAAGCAGATAAATCAGATCGGACAGATCCAGTAAATCAGTCAGATCCAGCGACTGAGACAGTTCCAGTTCCAGTTCAACCTAAATCGAATTATCCATATATGACCAAATCCGAACAGGCGAGTCTTGTAAAATGGCTCATCATTTTGGGCTGCATTATAATCGGAATTATTGTTGTTGTGAGTTTGTTTGCTGTATGTTTCAAAATGCAGAGTCCCCTCGATATATGTGAACGAGATATTATGTAGATAATACTATCTATCTATCTGGCATACGAAAATTAACTGAGTTCAGTTCTCTGCTTGCTTCGACTTTATAAGTCTGATATAAAGTTCTGGGGAGCAGAGAAATGAAATTCTCATATTAACGTAAATATGGCGGACCTTAAACTTCTTTAGACCTTCTTCTCAGTTCTATCATTTACATGATCTCCAAAACTAAGGTAAAATTAATAAAGAAATTCTTGGATAAACTTACTTTCTATTTATTCAACTATAAACAATATATATTTTAATTGCATTTTTTTTTATAAGTTTCATGCCTTATCAACATTTTTCCTTTTCTTTTCATTTGATGTGCTTCTGTTTTTCGCAAGGCTTAACAGTGCTCCCGAGCTTAGTGACGCGCTTAGCAGTGCTGTTAATGAGTTAACAGTGCCAAAAGTCAGCCGATAATTTTATGCAAAATTTTAAGCTATCGAAAAGAGTCGAAATTAAGTCGTGGTCACGTAATGATTGATGCAGTGTTACTCAAATGTTCCGTGACGTAGTGAGTGTCTGTGTGTGTGTATATTCCAAAAAAAAAACTCAACAGAGGCCCGGCTCAACAGCAACAACAAAACGGCAGGTAAGTACAAACACACACACTTATGCCAATGTCCATACTCAGTCAACGCATTATTGTTGTTATTCTCACATCTCTACACACTTATTAACTGCATAAATATATGTATGCTCAAGTGTGTAGACATGTGTTGTTGTTGCTGTGTTGTATGTAGCGGGTTTTTTTTTTGCATATGTGTTTTGTGCGTTTGTGTTGCTCGATATATACAAATAAACATGAGCAGAAAGCAGGCGCACAGCAATGATTAGCAAGCATACGTAGACACATGTAGGCAATGTATGTATTTAGTGTTGTTGCTATTGTTGGTATGTACACATGTAGTGCGAGTAGAAGTAGCTTTCGCTGCCGCTGCTAAAGCGGTAACAGCGGCGTCGACTTTGCCGACGCTGTCAACGTTCTCAAATTGTGTTTATGTTTGTATGTATCATGCATATGCACATACATACATACATATGTAGCCGGTATGTTAATGCATGTATGTAAGTACACACATGCTTGTAATGAGTGAGCGCACCGAGTCAAAGCCAGAACCAGAAATGGCATGAAAATGAAATGTAATGGGCAACAACAGCTAAACACGTGAAGAGCGACAACATCTAAATAAATACATATGTATGGGTATGCGTATACGTATGTATGTATGCAACTGTGTGCTGGATTGAGTTTGTTTCTCTGCCTGTTTGATGACGTCGCAAAAACCGTGAGCGTCTTTGGACTTGACTTAAGACAACTTCGAAGTCAGCGCAAATGTTAGTCTCGCTGACGACAACAACAACAACAACTTAATTTGTGCGATTATCGGCACTTTCCTACAGCAACAACAATTGATTTGTGTACACTCGCGGTCAGAAAAAGGAGCAGAGTTCGATCCGAACAGTCACGGCTATAAATAAATTACACATTTATATCAAATCTTACAATTGTTACAATATTAAATTAAAAAAAAAAAAGTGTTATTTTAAAAGATTTATAAATGACTAAAAAGTAGCAAGCATATATAAACATAATTATGTATGTGCTCATTTTAACAATCATGCATGTTAATACCGACATATGTGGGTCATGTAATCATGACGGGGCAAAAAGTTATCGGACAGCGACATCGAAAATAGCCAAGCAATGCCTTGAGAATTTTCCACTGATTGCTGGTCAAAGGGAAAATAAACAGAAAGCAAAGTCTGTCGATTGGGAGTGTAGCGGAAAACTGATAAGGTTTATGAAAATGACAGCATTGCGAGTAATTTACATTCAAATATGCGAAAAACTAATATGCAATTGAGCTCGATCGGAAAAATATTAACAGCAAATGGAAATGTGACGTCATACTGTCGTCAGGCATTGCTGTGCAGGGGGAGCGACCTTCTAGTCTGGCGCCTATTCAATTGCTCTTTATTCGTTTGCTTGCGCTCCCACTAGCTTATTACCTGCAAATGACGCACACCCAGCAAAAATTACTAAAACGGTTAGCTCACTTAATTCATTTAAGGCATTTATTTAATGTTAAATTGCAATTCATTTCAAATAATGATAATAAACATAGTTAAGTATACCACAACGTAAATATGATACTTGCTTTATTTTATTTCTCATGTATTATGCTTTTGACATTTTTGAGGGTTGCTCGTTTGCTTTGCTTGCGATTTTAGTGTGTTAATGATGTGGGATTTAAAACTGTTTATAATACCGGTTGTTAATTGTAATTGCCATTTATGTGGCTGGCTGAGCGAACATGAGGAGAGAGACTATCGAAAGCACAGCTAAGAGAGCAGCAGCAGCTAATATTATATGTACATATGTGTAAATATGTTGTTGTTATCGTTTATATGCCTGCAGCCCTCTCCATCTACCGCTACGACCCACGTAACAACTCTGCTACCGAGTCTGCTGCTGCTGCTGCTGCTGCTGCCGATACGCTACTGCTACGTTGGCGTCGCTGTTCTCATGAGCGTAGAAATGAGTTTGAATGAGTTGCAAAGATGGGACGGGGAGCGCACAGTGCGGTGGATGAATCGTGGCAGTGCATTGCATGTACATACAGACATAGTCATGTATGCTTATATGCGCATACATGTGTTTACTTGTTTGTCAATATGTACATATGTTATTTGATTTTCGTTTCTGTTTTTTTTTGTTTTGCTTCTTTTATGTTGGTGTGCGTTTGTGTACGCCACACTTCTTGTGTTGTTGTTGTTCTTGTTACTGCCGGGTACATGAATATAAATGTTGTTTATCTGTCGACGTCGACGCCGTCTCGGGTGTCCGTCGGCTTCGTCTCTGCCTCTTTTAGTAGTTTTGTGTGTGTATCGTTTTGTGTGCTGTTGCTGTTGTTATTATTGTTGTTGTTGTTGTTGGTGTTGTATATGAATATGTGTTTCTTTATTGTTGTGTGTACTTGTTGCTGTTGTTGTTGGTATTGTTGCCTGCCCGGCTGCTCAGTCACTTTGCTCGCATGAACTTTTTGCTTTGACTGTGGCTCGCCTGCTAATCAATGCTGTACGCCTGGTTATTTTGCTATATCTATATGTACACAAACAAATCTACAAAAGTCACAGACATGCACATGTGCACACCCCAACCTCTTCCCGCATCTTACATTAGCGTCACGAATCGTGCGTGTAAATATGTACAACAAAAGTTACAACACATAAAATTATCAAGAAAATGTAGATGGATGTATGCGTTGGAGGGGGGGATGGTGGAATAGCATGCATATCGGTTCCATTATAGTAAATACATATACCGACTGACACTTGTGAATAAAATATGCATATACATATGCATGTGTGCTTACTTATGTATGTGTGTATATTAAAGCATAGCGTGCGAGTGTTGGACAATTGAAAAGAATTTTCTATTGTTTTCGATAGTGATTTTGCATTACGTATAGAAGTAGACTGACTGACTTCCCTTTAGAATAATATAAATTGTATGTGTATACTCATTTATACATACATATGTACATATGTATGAATCAAAGTATTTTGCAAATCTGTGGATCTTTAGGGTGAACCGTTGATGCATAAATGTTTTTGCTGATATCGTTTTCTATATAACAGATCATTTTATTTTGACAATTTTTTTTTTAAATTATTAAATATGTATATAATTAAACAAATATGACAAAATATATTCAAGATTACCAACAATTTTTTTTAAACCTTTGTTTAATTTTAAGGTCCACTCTAATGGGATTGCTTGAACTCTGGGCATATCATAATTTTTGGCTTGATTGTTGTCATAATTAAGGCGCAGGTAAGTTTTTTTTTATATATGTATTTGCTGTACTCTAATATAATAGATAAAGGCATACATATATGTACATATGTATGCATGTATGTATGTGTAAGCCCACGGTGCCAATTACTTGCACATTCCCTTTCATATTTAGCTTTTGTGTACCGTTACACATCAGGCACTTCTCTATGTGCGAGTAGTGCAGAGTGTCGCTCTTCAGTACAAATACAAAAGGAACACAAACGCAATATGCAACTATTTGTGTTGTAGTTTTAATGCCAACGACAAACCCCCAAGCGCGCTTCTACGCCCCTCTCCCTTTCAGAATCAACGCTACCCATGCTCATGGAAACGGCAATGTTTACACTTGTTTGGCATTCATGGGCTGCTGTTCGTTGGTAAATAATTTCATAATAATGTTGTTGTTGCGGCATGACAAATGATAAGCCGTCGTCTACAAATTGCAACAATTACAATTGGGTTAATAATACATCATAGTCATCATTGTTGTTGCATTTGTTTTGTGTTGTTGCAAACAGTTGTACATACATTTATTTGTTTTCTATTATGCATGGAGACGTGCGCTTGTGTGCGTGGCAAACTGTTTGACATTTTGCAATAAAATAAATTAAACAATAAATTATAAATTTGTACAAAAAATGACTGTTGGTCGAACAGGCGCACATCAATGCGCAGTCAGCGTCTCTGTTGGTGACGGCGACAGCGACTTTGCTGTTGTTGTTGCTGCTGCTGCTGCCTCTTCTCCTGCTGTTGTTGTTTTTTGGTATTTGCCAGCTGTGGCGAGCCCACAGTATGTGAGTTTTTTTTCTCCTTCTATTTCATTGCCTTACACATACATACGCCCATACATATGCATACAGTCATTTGTATTTATGCATGCGCATCTGCCAGTGTGTGCATGTGAGTGCGTATCATGTTTGGGCTTGAGAGTGACCAGCCTAACAAAGAAGAACCGTTACATGCTTTATGTACGGCCTCAACAGCAGCAGCGTGGCCACTGGCCATATGCGTGCTCTGCTGTTGTTGTTTGTTATGTGCCTCTCCCTACCTAACCCGCTCATTCGCACACTCTCTTAGTCTCGCTCTCTTTTTGTATGATTGACCTGCTCATGCAGTTTGCCGTTTCGCCTGCTGCGCTACTCAGCTGTGCTTTTCGATCAGCCGCAGGTGTTTGTCGCAGGTCAGTTATGTACATACATACTTGTGGGCTTGTGTGCGTGTATGCTTGCTTGTGTTTATAATACATATGCAAAAGGATTACGGCAGCTCGAACAGTGGGTACAAAGCATAACGGTTAAATTAAATTGTGTTTAGAATATGCAATATTTAAACAAAAAATATACATATGTATGTACATATTTTGA